TAGTCAACGCACGTAAGGGAAAGCGATAAACCCCCCCCAAAAAAAAACCCACCTAAAAAACCCACAAAAAAACACCAAAAATAGAATAAATCTTCCTCTTAGCTTAAAGCGTAACAATAAAGCTCAAAGTCTTAAAATTAATTGAGATTTTATATTTAGAATTAAAAGAAACTCTCTAACTAACTCCTATCCAACTCACTGATACTTTACTGATATATTTTAGAAAAGATTGTGTCCCCTGTTTGATAATGATTGATGATACCTCTAATTTGAATTCAAAAATATTCACATTAATATAACGCCTTCTTGGTTTATGGGAATCATAGTATCTTCCAATAACTCGGACCAACTCTAATAGGATGGAAAGCAACTAATAAGCTCCACAGGAATTTCATGCAATAGATGAGGTCCGATTAGTTATATTTTGTGTCAAATACTTTGTATAACTACTTACATTGAAAGGCTTTAGCAGTATTCTGTAGTGTGAAAATAAAAGGGCTCCTTTTGTAACAAATATGGATGATAATAGAATCTCTCAAATATCTCTCATGTAAATAATACAAATTTACAACTACGTTACTACAAACATAAGCAGCTTATGTACAGCTAGTGGTGAGCATATATTAGATGTGTTTGTACAAGTATGCATGTAACAGCAGGACTATGCAGATCTTTTAGATCAAGATTATATTACCTTTGAGATTTCCATTCGATTTGGCCTGAAAATAATGCCAAGTTAGGAAAAAGATCATCTAGATTCAGGCCATATATAACAAAAATATCCATATAGGCGGAAACTATCTCCTAAAAGATTCTACTCAATATTATGCTTAGATCCCAAACTTCTGGTAGTCATTAAAAGTTGGAAGCCAAGCTTCAAACCTCCATATTAATACTCAAGAATATCACTTAGTTAGTTATCACTACATCTCCATCACTCTCTAGGGAATAAAATTTTCAAGCAGACATCATAAATAAACAAGGAAATATAAAGATTGATTCTCACTTCAAAGTATGAATTTAGATCTGTTTCATTTTTTTAGTGCCAACATGAGTTATTATATTAGAGAGAAAGAGACAGAAAGTATGCATCCAAACCCAATCACCCGATTATGTTTTTCTCTCACATAATGACTCATGTTTACATTAGAAAACTGAGGAAATTCAAATTCTCAGAGTGTGCCTTTCATTCAAATACGTCTTTTTTCTTATCGAATAATTAAGTTTTGATGAAATCGATCTAATTAAAATAATAGATCTCATGATCTACAAACACTAAATAATAATAATAAATATTACATAAGAGTTATAGCCAATATCTTTCAAGCCTAATTAGCTAACCACAGATATTTTCTTGGATAACCCTGATTTATGTGTCGCTCACCCAAAGAACACAAAAAGATTTAGTACCGAAGTTCTTAATCCTCCTAGTCCTTTTTCTTGTAAAAAAACTACATACCAAAATATGAAAGAGAATATCATTGCTAAAAAAAATGAAAGAGAATATCGTATACTATCATGAAATAAACAAGTCCAGATCAACGTATTCCATCCACCAATCTAATCCAGCCTCAGAAGGATACTGATTTTAGAGTATCTTCAGAATAAGCATAATCATCAGTAGTTCCTAATATATGTATATAGGCATTATAATCTAGGGCATATCTTGAGTTATCAAACTGTCATTAACAGAAAATAAATTTATCAGCAAACAAGTTACCACAAAAACAGAAGATAATGTTGGGCTTTGGAACATAAGGCAAAGGCAGAATCCAATCGAACCCATGAATCCACCTAAGTGTGCCGGGTCCTTGTTCCCATGGCTAAACACTCTGTGCCTTGTCTGGATTACAGCAGTTCCCCCTTTTCATGCTCACCTTTGCCACTTTTTTAATTAACCCTTCCCTCGTTTTCGCACTCCAACAAGCTCAACTTACATTGGTAATCACAAACTCGTGCATTTTTTATTGCTTTCACATAAACAAGTTCAAGACCCACGTTCATTCCGCCTTGCCTTCATCAAATTCTATACCCCTGAAGCCTGCAAATCCCTCAGTTTTCGAGCCTTCCCACGTTCCCTTCCCTTTCACTCCATTCACCCAACCATAAGCTGTGGCCTCTTGTACATATAAATTATATACGGCTATGTTTATATATAAGTTATAACCAGGGTTCCTCATCACTCCTCAAGCTCTGTTTGGGAGTTTTTTTTCCTTCCTTTTCTTGGGGTTTTCTCTGGAAAGGAGAAGGCTAAGAAATCAGAACCTATGGCTGAAATGAAATACCACAACCAAGGAGCGAAGGTACCGGCGAAGAAGAAGGAGTATGGATTTAGCAGCAAGTGTGCTTCATTAGTGAAGGAGCAGCGAGCTCGTCTCTATATTTTACGCCGATGTGCCACCATGCTGCTCTGTTGGTATATTCAAGGAGACGACTGAGAAGTTTGAACACCCTCTTAATTTCAGCTTCTTCTATCAAGATGCAAGTACTTTATTCCTCTTCCTCTTCCTCTTCTTCTGTACATCGTTGAACAAAGATGTTTCTGATGGCCCAGATGGTATGGTTTCGATGGGGGTTCTATCTCCGAGGCATTTTGTTCTCCTTCCCCATTTTTTCCCCATGTTTGACCCATTAGGGTTTCTGATGGAGAAGGAAGGACGGATTTTGTAGCACGGGCACCCTGAGGCACCGCTTTTTCACAATCTGGGCATCAAGATTCAAGCACGACGTATACTACGGAGCATGCATGAAGGGCAATGGAAGCAATTAACTGTACAATCTTGAGATGTTTAAATAATAGCAGTTTAGTCCTTCACATCCCATAGCAATGGCAATTTTCTTGTACTTAAACTTGTTGTTGCCAATTTTAAGCTTCAACTTCAAATAGCTGGAGAACCGATCACCGATCGTACGCGTCTTCACCTTTTTGGGTTGGCAAAATGCAAATTCAGCGAAACTTCATGCGGACATTTTTCCCATATAAGCGATAATAATTGATTCCAGAAAAACATATAATTTACTATTTTGCATCTTATGACGGTGTGAGGAAATTGCAGCGATCTCATGTACTTAAATGCTTGTTTGTGCTGCTTTATAGAAACCTTAGCTTCACTTTTAGATAATGCACATTTTAATTCTTCGAATTGAAATTTTAAAATTGCTCATGAATTACATAAATTGTCGTGGATCCAGCACACATGTAGAAATGTGTAAAAAGGCATAAATAAGTTATTATGATATACTACTTCCGGTCCTAATTATAAGAGCCAGTTGACTAATTTGAAAAGATTAAAAAAATAAGTTGAGTTAGTTATTTGTCCTAAACAGATATTGTTTTTACTAAAATATCTTTACTAATCAAGTGTGTTGACTAGAACTATCATTGTTAGGAGGATTACTTTGGAAAAAAATGTATAAATATGAGAGACAAAATGGATTGAGGTTTTATATTTAGAACCAAAATAAAAGTCAAACAGGATCTTATATTAAAGACCGGAGGTAGTATTAATGAAATCTATGATAAGCCATCTCATTCACAAACTTTAAATACAATTTAATTTTTAAATTTCGTAAAGTACCAAAAACAAAGTGAATTTGTAATTTTATATGCAACCATTTGTTCGTCAGGGGAAAAATAAAAAAATAACCCCAAACTCTAGCACATCTTGCTTCATGGAGTCGAAAGAATCACAACGTTCAAAACTAGCAACAAGTAAAGTCTTAGATTCTTGTTCTTAAATTATTAATTTATTTTCAAGACTTTGATTAAAAAAAATACAATATGAAATAACGATGACTTGTTCTCAGACTTTATTAATAATAGGGATGCTCGAATATACACTTAAAAAATTAATCATTATTAATTAGTGCTTAATTGATTAGATGTTTTGAAAAAAAAAAAAAAGAGCTCTGTTCATACTTTTTTTTCCGTTGAATAATTGTAGCTCTAATTAATTTTCTGAAAAATGTAATTCATCAACTCAAGAATTTTTAATCAAAATAGATTCTGTTGTGATATGCGGCTTATAGTTTTTGATTGCCGAACACATACACACATGTACGTACGGAGAGAATGTTAAAGGGAGAATTGCAATTAAGTCCCACATAAGGAAATTAAATACAAAAAGATCTCTTGAAATCATGAAATCATGAAATTATTCTAAAATCTCAAAGGACCTTTTTACAATAAATTTTATTTGTTTAATTACCAAATTACTCTTTTTATTTTTTGTTTTAAGTTTGCATTGACAACTGAAAGAGTAATGGTTGACAACTTAGAATGTAAGGATTGATAATTATTGCGGCTGGTTTGACAACTCATGCGTTACATTTTGTGATATGCTGAGAAAATGTGTTATCAAACTAGCCATGATAGTTGTTAATTCTTACACTCTAAGTTGTCAGCCACTACTCTTTTACTTGTCAATACAAACTTTAAAAAAAAAAAGATAATTTAATAATTAAACAAATAAATTTATTGCAAAAAAAAATCCTTTAGGACTTCAGAATAATTTTATGATTTTAAGAAACCTTTTTGCATTTAATTTCCTTGGATAAGACCTAATTGCAATTTTCCCGGTGTTAAAATATCAAGTCATTTTTCAAGAGGAAAATTAGTAGATTTTTTCCGGATTTATTTGGTGACAAAATGTTTGAGTGTAACACCCCAAAAAAAAAGGCTCTTGAGCCCACCGATGGTCAAATCCTCCCCGTTAGGGTTGCGTTGGCCCAACATGAAAACCAAAAAAAAAAAGTCCCAACATCAGCAAAAAACAACATTGGAACTCCAGATGAAAGATATAAGACCGTCAACTTTATGCTCTTTGTATCAAAAAAAAAAAAAAACTTTATGCTCTGACATTGACAAGTTTTTTTTTTTTTTTTTTAGTTTATGAAAGACATCGACAAGTTACATAAGTGCTACTTCAGCTCAAAAAAAGTTAAATATGTGTTGCCTGCTTTCACCTCTGAAAAAAAAAAAGTGTTTCAAACTACCCAGATAAAAATACAAAAAGCCTCGTACAGTGAATGAAATATATCATGTTGATGGAAGATTGCCTACTTGAACTTTCTAATAGGGATATACAGTTTGAACAATACCTCTAACAGGAAATTAGGAGCCACCTTGAGCAAAAACAGAGTGAGTATTTATTTCATCTTTATTTGTCAATCCAATCCTTGTAGAGCAACATCACGTAGATGGGAACATTTACAGCCGCAATAACTGTAATCATTCGGACCATCCTTAACAATCTTTGGATTATAAATATTGTCTTTGATCTTCCCGTTCTCGAAGGTATTCTGGCCATAGGATCAAATCCATTGCCTGAAGCCATATCCATATTCACAGAGACATCTCCTTCCTGAGAAGCATGTTTTCTTGCAGTTGGCCGCATCACAGCATTGCCCCTGACGTAAAAGAACATGACGAGGTTTCAAGAATTACAGAACACAAGGTCCAGAAATAGGAAGAATGATAGGATTGCCTAGGCCTTCAAAAGAATATACCGAGTAATAATAAGCATACCTTTCCCCTAAACTCCGTTCAGTTGAATTTACAACAGATGCATTCAAGGGCTTCTTCACAAGATGCATTGATCCTTCTGCATCCCACATCATCTCGTATTCATAGTTTGCATCCTCATCTTTCTCTTTTGTATCCCCGCTAAATAGGGCACTAGATATTAGTTGTTTACTGTAGCCCACTAGGCTCCAACATTGATGCCAAAAACTTGTGCTACTTGTTGGCCAAAGAAGGGCGGCAAGAAGGGTAAGAATAAATAGCACCGCATACCTGCCATTTGCAGCAACACACAATTCGTCAAAAAGCTGCCTTAACTGCTAAGGTAAAATTGTTTAAATATAATTATTGGTGTTTAGCATTACCCTATGTATATATGTGTTTGCATTGGAAGGAAGCATAGGTGAGCCAACAGAGCATCTTCTGGAGTGGAAGAATTTGGAAGAGTCGAGTTACTAACTGATAGCAGCATGAAAGAAGGATACAAGTTTCCTTGTTGCCAACTTATGGTGCCTAGAGTGTGCTGCACAATACTGTCAATTTAACTGTGTTTTTCATCAGGGAGAATGTTGAGCTGAGAAAATATGGTTCTTACCTCCTTTATCGGCCCAAATTTTGGCTGGTGAGTAACGGTGCACTGATCATGGTCATGGCCAGACAAAATAAGCTTCTGCAGAAATTATGAATAGTTTAATGAAAAAGATGTCTCCATTCCCCTGTATACACAGTAATCTCATTCTAGTTTCCCAGTCACCTTCAAAGCAAATACTTCCATAATGGAAAGACACTAAGCATTTGAGTCCAAAACACAAGGCCTTTAAAAAATTGCGCACAAAACACAGCATGAGCAATTCACCACACACATGTCCCTACTTGAGAACACACCACAAAAAAAAGGGGGGGGGGGGAGAATACATAACTTGCGTCTGCAGTTACTATGGGTAAATCTACCATGCGTAAAACTTTTGTCACGCACCCAAATCACAGTAGAAGTCAATGCAAACTTGCGAGGAGCAGATAGTAAATCAATGGGTTTGATCATGTTCATTAAGTTTTTAAATCAATCCCCATCAACGATGATTACTGGCAAAGCCACTATGTATTAAATTTTTGTTACACATCTAAATCAGGGTAGAATAGTCATGCACATTAGACAAAGAAGCATAAATATAACTCACAGGTTTGATCATGTCCATTAAGCTTTTTGATGAATCCTCAGAAACATAGTTCTGATACCTGTATGATCGAATTAACTGTCAACTTTGGCAGAAAAGAAAAAAAGGAAAAAGAATTAACTGTCAACAGAATCCTTGCTATCTGGTCGTGCAATGTTGAATTTTTCCTGCATGGCTTTTGAGATGAGTAACTTACCATATGTCATTAACTGAAGAAGTGCGGGATACCCTCTGAACATATCAAAAGAAAGACTTATAATTAATTTTAAGATTGGCTGGTGAGAAACATTCGAACACACCACTATACTAGTCTATTGGAAGGGTTAGCGCCACAAAACATATGATAGGCTTCCTGAAGACAAACTTCAAAAAAGAAAAAGGAAAAAAAAGGGGGGAGGAATGGAAAAGATACTACCTGATTAATGATGGGTGAATTGCGATGAGGACCACAGTAAGTATCATCCGGCCGATATAAAGGAATGTGTGTCAATAGAACTCTTTGATGCGCTTCATCATCTAAATGTGCCAGAGAAATATATATATATATATATATATATAATATTATTATAGGTCATATACTCAATCCCAAGAATGTGCTATAATATAAGCCTATTCTTACCAACAGAGACGTTCTTCACAAACTCCCAAGTTTTGGAAACCAGATGCTTTTCTGGATGTCCTGCATAAACGATTAGTTCAGTAATTGCAGTTAGTGAAATTCAAGTTTACATTTTATCCAACTGAATAGTTAAAAATTATGCATTCAGGTAACATAAATAAGAAGCGCAAAATGCAGTAAAGATCCTTTTATTTCATCATAGGTTGAAATACTGAGCAATTTGTTGTAGAGAGTGCTAGAGATTTTCACAATCAACAGGTCAAACAACCATTTCATACCAACGGCTAAAAATGAACAACAAAGGCCTAGCAATGGATTTGACTAATATCTCTAACAGTAATCATAATTAAGAACTTCTGTATGCAAAGCACACATTAAGAATAGAACATGAAATGTAAAATTTGAAAGCCAGACTAGAATTTACCATCCACTGTTTGGGAATCAACAGCAATAAAGTCAACTTTTCCAATTGCAAATCGATAGTTCCTGGCTCCAAATGTTTCTTCGTAGCGTCGGATAACCTGTGTAATTTAGCAAATTAATACACAAAGAAGAAAACAAAGAAAATAAACAGATTATAAAAAGTGCAATTTAATAGATAATTCATACTGACATCCATGACCTGTATGGAATCAACAAAAAGTAAAAAATTTTAGATTAAAATGCGGAAGAAATTTTTTTAACAAAATTGCATGTGATATAGCACGAGTGAAACCACATCTTATAAACAAGACCTTGACATGATTCACATTGAATAGTTCTAGCCAAAATTTCCCACGTTAAACTGGCGTTTAAATTAATTTTCAACTTCAAAACCTAATGTCATCAATGAAAGGGATGCAGCAGAAAATGTCCATGGCTCAAATCGGAACTAGTAGAATATTAGATATGAAGACTCTAGGCAGAAGATGACTGAAAAGAATTTATTCAATATTCGACAGCCCTAACCCTGTCCTCCCTCTCAACTGGATGGTTAGTTCCACAGTCATCTCTAACTACTATAATAGCCAAGCTTACTCTTACTACCCCTTTTCACTTTTTTTTTCACTTTGTTGTGTAACAGTACTTCTCAATCTTTGATTTATATTTTTAACCAATCAAGATAAACTATTAACTTATGAAATCAAAAACAAGGAAAGCATCTAGAAAGTGTAAATTAATTGCTCATACTGAGCTAGGTCATGTAAATTGCTGTGGATCATAATTCATATAACACTTGCTCTTGGTAATTTACTGAAGGCTAGATTATATCCTCCCTCATTTTGCTTAGCAAAATTATAAAAATGATCAAATGTGTAGATAAATGTCAGAGAATCATGCAAAGGCTATTTCGCAAAACTGATTGACAGCTCTATGGTATGCCAATGCCCACTTTTATGATCTCAAAGATTGTGCATATGTCCACTAAAATATAGGAGCAATCTTAGTCACATGTTTGGCATTGATTTGACACAGTACTTTGAGCCCACCATAGCCCAAGGCCATAAATGGGAATAACTGAATGATTAATTGTGAATATAACATCACGAGCCAGCTTGTGCTTCTTGAAAAGGGAATTAAAAGGTGAGTGATCACATGTTGAAATACCTCTGGCCTTTGAGCATGGTTATATTCATAGCCAATATCATGGTTTCCGGGAATGTAGTAAACTTGCATTTCTGTATATTTTCCTTGTTCGTTCAGACCAAAAGTATGTCTAAAACGACTGAAAGATTTCTTCCATCTGCCCATTCAAAGAATACGAAAAGTTTCATGGTAGGAATTAAGAATAAATAGTGACCATAAAGCATAAACAATTGTCTTTTTAAATTACAAGGTAGGAGAGCTTACTTGAACAAGAACAAAATACCAATCATTAGGAATATCAAGAAGAAAAAATTGGCCATAGCAATATAGTGTGAATTAATAATGAAATGTTAAAAAAAAAAAAATCGATTAGTAACACAATCATTAAGAAAGATATTGACGTTAGGTGCCAGCCAAGCTGCCACAGTATGAGTTTACAACACAGAGAAATTCACGGTTTACTTATATGTACCCATAAGAGTATAACGCTCAGGTCTACATCAAGAGGATTGTCATGCCTATCAATTTTTGGCAAGATTGAGGGCTTTAATGATCAGACATGTTGAAGGAGTTAAAGCACTTTTACTTCTCTTTCCAGGAAAGTCTTCTTTTATAAGAATAAGCTGAGGGGAAAAAAAATTAAATGTCCAACCAGAAAAAACACTAATAAGCTCTTTAGATACTTTGGTTTTTAAATGAAAAGGTTGTGAATAAGAAAGATTGCTAAGAATTAAGATCTTCTCCCATGGCACGGGGGAAGATTAGCCGAAAGAATTAAATATATATTACAGAATTTCAGCAGAACTTGATAAAATCTTGTGGAAAACCAAATAGATAAGTAAAAGTGTTTATGACCCGAACTTACTCTTCATCTGTTAAGTGAGGACCTCCATCAAAGTAATCACCTAAAAACAGTACGACATCAGGCGTTAAAGGGACGACAGATGCAAAGAATGCTCTCTGCATGTACAGATCAGTGTAAAATTCAGCAATCTGCAGTGCTAGTGATTCTGGAGGAAGGTGAAGCGAGGTTTTATCCATCAGCTGTTAAAATTTAAAAATCCCATCAGAAGAGAAGATTCAGACGTTTTCACATTCATAAACTAATTTATGGGCATAAGTTCACCTGTGGATCTGCAATCACAGCCACTTTTAGATAATCAACCTGATGAAGCATAGAAGTGTGCATCAATCTCAAACAATCGCTTTTAAGCACAATGAGACCACCTCTAAGAATTGAGGCTGTTTAAGTTTTCCACCAGAAAGATATTTAATTTAAAAAAAAAAAACCAGAATAATTAAAATTCTATTCGATCAAACCATCATGCCTTCACTTAAGCTTCCTAACCTTGCCTACAAAGAGTTGCCAAACTACCAAAACAAAATAAAAGGAATTCCGAACAATTCTTTCAAGCAATGTTAAGCACAAAGATGGGCCTTCGGTTTAGAATTATACTGATACAGCAGAATACTGGCAAAGCACCAAACAAGCAGACACTATTACCAGTTTAATTGCTCAAAGATAGATTATCACCTAATGGAATAATAACGAAGTACCAAAATAGTAGACATTGATACCAATGTAATTGCTTAAAGATAGACCATCGGGTCTGAATATGAACAAAGAGGGAAAAAAGAGTGCGCACCATCACTTCCTAAAAGATGAGAAACGGGAAGCCCCCTGACCCGAAAAATGACATAAAGTACCGGGTTTACATCGCAGTGTGTGTAAAAGAAGCCCAAAAAAAAAAAAAAGGCTTCTTGTTTTTTCGTCACAGTTTTTTTGTTTTTGACAATTCACTCCTTTATTCATCACTAGATTAAACTTGGAAAATGTTACACAGCTGGTGTCTTCAAACTTCGTAGCATAATGGCACCCATTAGTTTTCTTATCGATTCAATATGATAATTATAGGCTTCATCAGCAAAGATTTATCATTAAACTCCAAATTCTTCAACAATGCCACGAATGATCTTTAAATCAGGAAAGCCAGTCAAACCACCACGAAACCGGGCAACGGGAATTCCTAGGGTAAGGTCACAAAGTTCCCGATTCCAGAGGGCGAAAATGGAAAGCAACCCCAAAACCATCTGAAATAGAGGAATTGTACCGTAGAATTGGAAGAGGAAGAGCGGAGATGAGGCCATGAACAAGTGAAAAGGGAGGGAACCCAGTAGGCAAACATCTCGCCGTAAAGCAGTACTAGCGCCCATGCTATACATAGGAGCACAGTCAACTCCAGCTGCTTCATCACCTCGCAGCTTCCTACTTTCCTTCTGATTTTGGAATCTGATGAATCTGCTGTTCCGCTTGGGAGCGATCAAGCACCGAAATAACACAAAAACAAGAAAATACCCCCAAAAAAAAGAAACTTAGATGCTGCTTCAGTTCTTTTATTTTTATGTCAATATTTAATTATTATATTTTATATTTATAATCTCCATGTTTCAGTTTGGTTGAAAATATTTTAAATAGATTAGTTTAATTGCCTAAAAATCTCCTTGGTTGCAAGAAAGAAATTGGAAAGCAAAAAAAAAAAAAATCATGGATTCCATCGACTATATTTAGGGCTTGAATAAATTTTCTAACTACTTCCTACATTGAATAACAGTAAATCCATTGCTCCTCACACCTTTTTTTTTTTTGCCAGACCTCACACTTAATTTTAAAAGGTTGATTTTCACTTGTAAAAAAAAAAAAAACTTTTAGCGCTTTATACACACACAAAAAAAGAAAGAAAGAAAGAAAATATAACACTTTTTTCAGTTCTTGCCTCTAGGTATCCAATTCTGGATCTATAATTATATCCACATTTAGGACCCGCAGATATCAAGTAATTCTATTTTGTAAATCACAACAAACGTTAGGGCACCTTTGTTTTAAAAGGAAAATGAAAGTGTATTAAAAAAAAAACCCCGGGGGGGGGGGGGGAAATGAAAGACAATGTGGGTAAAACCATGCAAATGCCAATTACATCCTTTCTTAATGTGAAGCTAATCACCTCATTATTCAATCCAAGGGGACAAGTACTGGTACACAAAATGTCAACATTGCCATTATCATGGGTCAATTTGGCAAGGCAATGAGAATATTCATCAACTTTTCTCGGGGAAAAAAAAATCCATCTCCTTAAGTCCTTATTATAAGATGTTGCTAACTAGTTCATACATGCCAGTGAAAACAGTTAAAAGCATTAAATTTATCATAAAACTCAAATAACTTTTAATATTATCCTCGTTAACTACATCAAATTCCAACATCATATTAATTTCTACTCTTTCACTATCCTTATTAAATATAGACATATATGAAAAAAAAATTTAATACTCATTGAAACTATCAAAACTTCTTATAAAAAGGATCAAAGAATTTTTCTAGATGACCTCCTATGATAAGGGCCAGCAGGAATACATAATAATATTAACCTCGGTCCTTAATATAAATTAAATCTTATTATTTCCAGTCCTTAATATGAGATATTGTTTTTTTTGTTCTAAATATAAAACTTCAATATACTTTTCTTTCTTATATTTATCTTTTTTTTTTTAAGATAGTCCTCCTAATAATAGTAGTTCTAATTAATAAACTTGATTAGTAAAGATATTTTAGAAAAGGAAACATTTAATTACAAATAACTAACTTAACTTATTTTCTTAATTTACTTAAATTAGTTAACTAACTTCTAAATTTAAAATGGAGATAGTATATTTTAGACAGAATGTTGTAGGTTATTGTTTAGTTAAGTTCGTGGTGTCTCCAATCAGATCTCTGAAGTTACGAGCAGAGGCAATATCACTGGTAGCCATGTTGATTGCTTCGAATGAGTTGCTGTCTGAAACCCCTCTAGCCGGCAAAGTGTAAGACGGTCAAGAATACCATCTATTTCCGCTTGTAAGTGGTAGCAGGGCCAAGCTTTTCATAACGCATGCATAGTCCGATCGAGGTTAAAATATATACGCGGGGGACAATTTTGCTGTGGACAGAATGATGGCTGAATAATAGATGCGTTTGCGATGAGCAAAACAGGGCATGCTAAATGCAGAAAAAGATATTCCAAAGCAATCAATCCACTAATGCACGCATGCTGTGTAATAATAAAACACTATACCGGATCCTAATACTACATTCGATTCTTAATATAATAACTAATTAACTAATTTGAGTAAATTAAGAGAGTTCGTTAAGTTAGTTATTTGTAATAAATACATGTTATATTCTCCATAATATCTTTGTTAATCATATGTATTAACCAGAACTATTATTTGATAAAACCTTTAACACGTATAACTTTTACAAAAACTATATTGAAAAAAATAGATAAATATGAAAAATAAAATATATCAAAGTATTATATTTAGGATTAAATTTAATGTCAAATTAGTTTTTATATTAATAACCGGAAAGAGGAGAGAGGTAGTATAAGATTTACTCCTCTTTGGTCTTATTTATAGGGAGAGAGAGATTTTTTTTTGTCCTATTTATAAGTCATTTCATTAAATTTTTTACCATAAATGTATTATATTGTTCTTCATTTATTATGGTGGAGATATTTTTTTTTAAAAAGTGTATATATTAAATAGAAGTAAAATTGAAAAGTTATTATATTTTAATGAAGAGTTAATATAGTTTAATATTTTTCTTGATCTGTATGAAACATATTAAAAGTTTTATAAATAGGATAAGAAGAGTATTTTGTAGTTCAAATGCAAAGTAAAAGCAAGATCTGACGTTAAAAACAAAAGGTAGTGTTAAATAAAAGAAATAGAAACATTGAAGCATGCATTGTTGTTTTATTTACATATAAAAATCTTGAGCAGTGCATATGGTTTGTTGATGACACTTTGTGGTCCCTGTCTCCGGTTTTCTAATCCCTGCGCTGATTTCGGCCATTAATCTCCAATTTCAAAGGCATGCAGTCCAACACGATTAGCAAATTGAAGGGGTTAATAATAACGGGTGGCTTTCATCAAAGGGTCTTTGGATTTGAGGGGAATCTCGAGGTATATCATTAGGTACCCCATCGCAGGTCAGGAGCCGGGGAATCAGGGCTGGCGGGCTTAAAAGGGCCGGCCTCCAGTGGGCTAGAATTTTAAAAATATCCCAATTTGCTAGGCCCGGCCCTTAGCTACAGGGCCAGGGCCGGCCCGCGGGCTTTTGGCCCGTTTAAGAAAAAATACTATTTTTTATATTTTATCATTTTTTTATAAAAATAAAATCAATGAAATTATTAATAAAAGACATAAATATGAATAAAATTAAGTCACATATAAAAATATCATCATATATAAATATTCATCAACATCTAAGAACATCTAAAACATTCATTAACAAGATAACAACATCTAAAAGTTTTATCTATAATGCAATTGTGCAATAAATAAACACTATTATTAATCTTTTGAAACTTCATCATCACTATAATTAATTACTTTTTTCATAAGTATACTTTTCTTTCGTAACAAAAATATCAAGTTTTTCTTCTTTATAAAATTTTATTTTTAAATTTTGCAATCTAACTATTATTTTACTTTAATGTGAGAAACATTGCTGTTGAAACTCATGAATTTCTAATTCAAATTATAGAATCACAAGTTATATAAGTATAAAAATATTCTATTATCAAATATATATATATAGTTTAAAAATATCAACGCATATAATATAAATCAAATCATTATTAAAGTCCAAATTAACCCATTTTTTAAAAATTTAATTGGATAAATTATTATCTAAAACTAAATTTACTTTTAAAATGATAATAATAACTAAATATTTGAAATATTATTAACAATGTAAAAAATTAATAACATTAATATTATATAAAAAAATTTAAAAAATAAAAAAAAATATAAAAGGGCTTAAAAGGGCCGGCCCGTGGCCCTCCAGGGCCGGCCCTTTTAAGCCCTCGGCCCTCCAGGGCCAGCCCTCCAGGGCTTATGTTTCATTTTAAGAGAAAAATATCAAGCCCGGCCCTCATAATTTCAGGGCCTAAAAGGGCCGGCCCGACGGGCTCGGCCCGTTTTCCCGGCTCTAATCGCAGGCGGCAAACATCATTGCAGGTATATACTAACTTACCTGTGAAATAAAATGATAGAGCCATCACTTAAAATACTCATTTGATGGACTAATGTGCTCCATGTTTCCACCTAACATATAAACATTGCAAAATTTTGAGAACAATATTTGAAATATTTAATAGTATCATTTTCTCTGAAAAAATGTATGACACATATATAGAGGTTATACCACTTCTTATCCTAAATATAAGAGTTAGTTTGATATTCAATTTGATCATAAATATAAGATTTCAATCTATTTTATCTATCATATTTGTTTATTTTTTTCTTAAATACTCACTATAGTAGCTGTACATATTAAAATTTTTATCAAATATAATTTCTACCTAATAAACATGATTAGCAGTCATGTTCTAAGAAAAATAATACTCCTCTGGTAAATTACAATATAAAAGAGGTCTTATATTTAGGATTAAAAGAATACATATTTATAACTTACTTAATCTGTTTAAATTAACTAACCATCTTTAGACATCGAGATAGAGAATAGATTAACAAAAGAAGCAGAAAATGCAGGAGGTCAGGGACAAGATAAGGAACCGAAGTCCCTTACACCGTCGGGGATTTGCTATTTTGAAAGAAAATGCTTTGAGCCTCTTTTTAAAGTTAACTTGATAGCATTCATTTAAGAATACCCTTTGCTTTCCTTTTAATAAATTATATTGATTGTGATTATAATCTGGCTTTTTCTTTTTTGTCCAAAGACCAAGGAGAGCTGGGATCATAGAAAATCAGCTAATCATTGTAGGGGATAAGGGAAGGGATCCGCTTTATCACCATGTAAATGGGCGTGGCTTCTGTGGTGGGAACCGGGAGCAGAAAAGGGATCTGTACAAATTATTACTGTTGGCATATATGATTGGTGGTTAAGCTTTTTCTCTTCTCGGGGTCTATAAAGTTCAAATTTTTACCTTAGCGCATGACCCAAAGCCACTAAGCAAGACAGTTATCCAGTGAAGACGCCATGGGAGGCAGTGCTGGTCATAGCAATCTCAAGAATGCTCTCATAGCATTCTTGGTTCCTCTTCCCTCTATTCTCTTTTATCTTTCATTCCTTAAGAACTATGAATCTGCAATTCGCATGGATTCTGGCCCCAATCTGTGGGCATGGTGCTATCACCATCCTCTGTTATTGGCCAACGTACTCTTCTTCTTCAACGTCAATGTCCTCTTCTGGATCATCGGCCTGCTCCAATCGAGCCACTGGGTGCGTAACGCGTTTTCTTTTGATTAGGTTTTCAGCTTTATTTCTGGGTTGTATGGAGATTGACTTTTGCTTGTACAGATGATTGACCCGTATTGGACAGTTATACCGGTGATGCTCGTTCATTACTATGCAGCTCATCCTTTGGCTGAGTTTAATTGGTGGAGGTCAAGGATCGTGATCTTGTTGACATGGGTTTGGAGTATTAGGCTCAGCCATAACTACTTCAGGCGAGAGAAATGGCAATGGGGTGCCAGAGAGGATTGGCGCTTCACCGATTTGAGCCATCAGTATGGAAAGCATTGGTGTTGGGCTTCTTTCTTCGCCGTCTACGTCTCTCAGCAGGTTAGCATTTCTCGGTTTCATTCCCTTCCACCTCTGTTAAACCAATTTGGAAAGAAACCCCCTAAACTTGTTTGCTAAATGGCCTGTACTACATAGATACCAGACAGCATGCTTAAATATAATTTGAAATGTGGTATCGTGTAGATGTGAGTAATCAGTATGTATTAATTTTCTCAAATGGTCTGTTGGGCACAAGAAAGAAAGAAAGATAGAAAAGGAAAAAGAACAAAGGAAGGAAAAAGACGAAATGAGGTGTTTAAACGTAATTTGAAATATCATGTCATATTATTTCAACACGAGGTTGCCTGTTTAGCAGATACGAGACAACAAAATTTATGATCTTCAAATACAATTTGAAGTTATGTGTTGTATTTCCTACTGTCAGATATGAATTAGACATCTTACCCTTATGTTTGTGAAATAGCAATGCTTCATAGCTGTTTGGTCCAAATGTTATGTCATTTAAATGGGTGCTTTCTCCTTGGTGTCTTGCGCATTTGCAGGTGTTTATAATTGCGTTGTCCCTTCCATTCTATGTTATTCATACGATGAACCAGCCTTTGAGCATCTGGGACTTGGTAGCCATTGTCGTCTGTGTATGTGGCATTGCCATAGCATACTTTGCCGATACACAGCTCTATGACTTTGTGAGTAGAAACGACAAGCTGAAAGGGCTTGGTAAGCCTGTGGTCCCCGTGCTTGACAGTGGCTTGTGGTATTACTCCCGGCATCCGAATTACTTCGGAGAGCAGCTATGGTGGTGGGGACTAGGTTTATTTGCCTGGAACCTGGGCCAAGTATGGGCCTTTGTTGGGGCATTAGTAAATACCATGTGCTTGGCTTATGTGACTACGCTTGTTGAAGACCGCATGGTTAAGCAAGCTAACAGAGCAGAAGCATTTAGGCTTTATCAGAAGAAGACTTCGGTGTGGGTCCCTTGGTTCAAGTCCTCTGCTTTGGAAGAAAAACATAAGGATTCTTGATCTTTGTTTGGTTAGTTATAACTGCACAAGAATCATGTTGGTGCCTTTTGAGGTTTGTGTACTGTAGTTCACTGTCGTTTATCTGATTTGAGGAAGTCCTGAGTTGTAACGATGATAGTTATATGGATTAAGATCATAGTGCTGTTGCAAAAATTTGAGTGCATCTTCTACATCAGTTATATATACCATATGATTAGATGGAGTAGCATAGATTAAATGCCATAATATCCTAAAGAGAGAACATTTCTCGTTGAATCTGGTTTGCCAGGTTCAAAATTAGTTCAGGAGCTACCTGATGAAGATGAATGTTGGTTCTGCTAATGAATATATTCTCTCTTTAGATGGCCCTTTCAGGCTTCTTTCATGGAGGCCTGAAGCCATACATAAATATTTGGAAGAAAAATAATAAAAAATTATTTCATGATCATGATCTCAAAATTAGATTCTCTATAACTGCAGTTAACGAGAGAGTGACACAGATTTATTTTATTTTTCTCTATCTCCTTCCAACTACACTATATGCAATCAAATTGTGAATACAGAGAATTTAAATTCCATGAATGTATAAATTTCTGATCTTAAGAGTTAAAATGGGCATGATACTACCTTGATGGCTAATTTCTCATGATACCAAGTAAACTAGCTATAAATTTTCAGTCTTTTATTGAGCTACTCGATCCAACTAGATTTTGTATTGCTTTTTTTTTTTTTTTTTTTGGAAACCAGATTTTGTGTTGGTGAGAAACCCGAATTGCACTAGCAGTCAATATATAACATATAAAAGTTGAATCCTTTTATTTGTCTGGGAATGTGTCAGTATTACTGCAAGTGCCAATGCTAATAATCAGTAATAATTCTATGGAACCATGGGATGATCGTAATCTGAAAACAAGCACATAACATCTTGAAAAACATGACATTTGTTGAAGTGCCTAATTTCGTAGTTCGACTCCTCAGAAAACTTTGATGTCTTTCCTCTTTTATGCTACAGTATGTGGAGGAGGAACGCTTTACCACATAGGGGGTTCAAAACCTCAGGAAAAGGGAGCCATACTTTCAAGAGTTAAAATTTAGTTCAATTATTGCATTTTCTTGCTAGTAGATTAATAGCTGAGACGTTGACTCTGCTAAGGTTTTCCAGGAGTAAAGGCTGACGTGATAGATTATGATCACTGAGACGGGTGCATATGTGGTCCTCTTTAATTCAGTGTCTATTCCTGAAGACTTTTTAGCTCATCTAGCCACAGCTTGATTGAAATTATCTCAATTATTAATTGGAGATGTGATTAGAAAGAAAAGGATTAGTCCTCTGTTCAGAATAAAAGCATCCTCTTGTGAGATAAGTTCTACAGAAGGATCTGCAATTAACATGGGGTTCATTGAGTAGGCCCTATTTATTTAGTTTCATTTATGTGAATCTCAGATCAAGTGTTTGTTCCTAATTTACAAATTCACTTTGAATATATGTGAAAATATATATATATATATATATATTTATAGGATCCAGTCCCGGTCATTCTACTGCATAAAGGGAGGGGGATAAAGAATACTACAGAGATAGGTATCAAAGTGCGATGCTAAGTTTTATCGTATCATGGTTCTATTGACTTTGTTTAAGATAGGGTTAAGGTGCGCCCAACACCCCGAACTATTTACCTAGGTGTGTCCAGTGGCCTAAAGTAATTTTGGGTGCATCCAGTGTCCTAAATAATTAAAATGGTGCATCTATATCCAGGCTAACAGAAATGTTATGTTTAACCGTTAATTTCCTGACTCAGTTTAAAGTTGACCCCACATATTCTAAATGGTAAACACGTGGACATTTGATGTGTATTATTCTTACTCAAAATTGAATTTATTTCCTTCCTCTTCTTCTAAATAAATTGACTTTTGAGTAAGAATAACACACATTGGGTGTCCATGTGTCTACCATGTACAATATCTGGGGTCAACTTTAAGTTGAGTCAGGAAAGTAATGGTTTAAACATAACATTTATGTTAGCTTAGGATATGGACGCACCATTTTAATTAGTTTAGGACACTGGATGCACCCAAAATTACTTTAGGCCACTGAACGCACCTGGATAAATAGTTCGGGATGCTGGGTGCACCTTATCCCTTTAAGATAATAAAGAGGACCGCTTTTCACTATTTTGCTCACATGCTGCTAAAAAACAGAGTAAGTGTTATGCACAGAATAGTGACAATATAGAAAGCATGACAGGTTGGAATATACTTATGTATCACAGTTTTTATATTTAAAATCATTTTAAATAATTGTAGAATTAAACATTTAAACTCTGGAAAAAAAATTAAATTTAGAAAATTTAAGATGATAATATTTCTGCATAAATTTAAATATGAACTGTAATGTTCCCATTCCATGCTTTGACGTGAACGCCAAGCTCATAATTATCAGCCTTACCTTTCTCGTTCTGAAAAACAATACAAGTGGGGAAAATACAACTTAAAAAAAAAAAATCAAAACCACATGGATGTTATGTTCTGTAATAAAATCACAAAGTGCGATGCAAATGATTCTTAAAAAGGTTTGACCTCATTCAATAAGAGATAGAGATCCCAACTTGCGTCTTTTTATTTTGTTTTTAAGTAGTTGTATTGTTGTTCCCTTGGGATGAAGATTGCAGATTCAGGTTCATTAATATTGTAGGACGTAATAAAGAAAAGAAAAAATAAAGTGGGCACAAATAAGAAAAGCATAAAGAAGTGGATCACATGCACGGATGAGCTCAACTTTCAGACAAAAACCAGTACAGCCATGAAAATGACGATGATTAATTCAAACAAAGTTTACATTAAAAAAATTCATATAGTTGTCGGCATTTGTTTGGTTTGTGATTAGTCATCTTTTTCAGCTCTGCTCCTTCACTTGCAATAATTGTTGAGTGAATTGAATTCCATTTAATGCCAATATCTGTCTACAAAAAAGAGGAGACCAGATCTTTGTTTTGTACGTAAAATATATAACATTGAACCACCTACACAGCTACACTACCATATACCTTAATCATTAATCAAGTAATTTTTAATATTCAACGGAAAATATCGAAACTCCTGGAAGCTCAACTTACCGTTCATTTATCAGATTTTATATACGGCTAACTGTTCTGTTATAATGGTTCTGTTGACTTTGATTATATGTTGTCTAATATTAAGCCTTAATTCCTGTCTTCATAATTAAAAAAAGGATTTTTAAGTGAAAATTAACCTTTTTAAGGTTTGTTTTGTTAAATTTCTTGATCGTGTATGTGCTTCACGAGGGAAGCGGAAGAAACTGGAGCTGACTCTGAATGTTAGAAATTCGTCATCTCCAGAAGTATCCTTTCCCATCCCTCCTTCGTCGATTTTATCTCTATCCTTTTCACACATAAACATCGAAACCTTCTTGTTTGGATTCACACTTTTTTTTGGGCTTTCTTCATTTACTTTCCGTACGACATCAACTGGGTGATATTGATTGCTTCACCTCCTCCTCCGGAATTAAATAAATCTCTCTTTTCAGTTTCTGAGCATCCTTTGAATCATTTACAACCCTTTAACACCCACCACCTAACCAAGATGGTTTCGAACAGTAGAAGCGGTTCTGGTATTAAGAGCACCAGGAAGAAGACGTTGGGTTTTGACTTCATGGCGGTGCCGGTGGCATTGATAGTGTATTCCTTTTGTGTGCTTCCTGTTTGCGTATTGGCGGCGAAACAATCTAACCCAAAAGAGACGCAGAAGCTGAGGTTCGGTGAGAATGGAGAGTTCAAGATATTGCAGGTGGCAGATATGCACTATGCAAATGGCGAGAGTACACTTTGCTTGGATGTGCTTCCTTCTCAGAATGCTTCCTGCTCCGACCTTAATACCACTGCCTTTATTCAGAGAATGATCCTTGCCGAGAAGCCCAATCTCATCGTATTTACTGGTATTTAGCTCTCATATTTTTGATTTGTCACTTCTGTTCCTACTGAAAAGTTTGTCGTAAATTTCTGATGGAGCTTTTCTCGCTGTCCTTTGAAGCAACGTACCTGTAACTTTCATAGAAACACTGCATATTTTGTTCATGTTATCTTCTCTATTTGTGCTTCTTACTCGCATCCTTTTTCTGGTTTCCGGGAACAGTCTCCTTCCTTTCATACTTTCGAGTGAAACATGGCATCAGGAACAGTGAAATCCCAATCATTCAATAGTTTGATGACAGAAATGAACCTTAAAACACGTTCTCGTACTCAGCCTATTGAAACAGTATACTAGAGAACGAACAAAGATTTAATATATTATCCTTGTGAAAGGATCCACGCGTATTTTAGTAGTTAATACGTGCGGAATAGTAAAATCGGTTTATCTATATGATTTGTAAATCAGTACATTGATTGTGTTTGGTATGTATGAAACAAAGTATTTGAGTAAAAAAGAAACGATTTTCCCCCTTTTTTTGAGTTTTTGGTCGCACCTGTAGTGAAGCCAGTTAGTAACATGTTTGTTTGATATCTCATAAAGGTTCGTGTTCATTGTGGTGTGACAGGGGATAACATCTTTGGGTATGATTCCTCGGATTCGGCAAAATCATTGGATGCTGCATTTGCTCCAGCAATTGCATCCAACATTCCTTGGGTAGCTGTTTTGGGAAATCATGATCAGGAAGGAATCCTCTCTAGGGAAGGGGTGATGAAACATATTGTGGGGTTGAAGAACACTCTTTCTAAACTCAATCCTTTAGAAGTACACATCATTGATGGTTTTGGGAACTATAACCTGGAGGTCAAAGGAGTTGAGGGAACTGAACTTGCAAACAAATCAGTTCTCAATCTCTACTTTCTTGATAGTGGTGATTACTCCACTTCCCCTTCCATTCCTGGCTATGGTTGGATCAAGCCCTCCCAGCAATTTTGGTTCCAACGAACATCTGCAAGACTTCGGGTACTTTTTCATCATTTCCCTGGATATCATTTTAGTTTAGTCTCTAAATGGGTTCATCCTGATCTTCTTGATTGTTGCTTCAACTGCTGCTTATGGCTGGAAATTTCTGTGGATCACCGGATCCTAACTTAGCTGATGTGGAACCAAAAGGAAACACGCAATGGGCAATCTTAAAACAACTCAATAATCGGATTTATTAATATCAATAAATATTAGAGGAAGGTGGCTGGTATAACTGGCTGGCTGCCTATGTATAGACAGAGTATAGGCTATGTCTGAAAGGATAAAGTAGCCCGTAGTCTGAACTACTTTATCCAAATCCTTTATTTAATCCTGATGCCCAAGTCAAGAACCTTAATGAACAAGACCTAATTGAATGGCTTACTATAGTTGTATCTGCACCTCTAGCTCTTTGCTAATGTCAAAACTTAACCCCTGGTTGTAATCTTTTGATCAACCACTTTCCTCTTTGTTCTGCAGAGAGCCTACATGCACGAACCAATGCCTCAGAAAGCGCCTGCTCCCGGTCTTGCATACTTTCACATCCCATTACCAGAATATGCTTTTTTTGACTCATCAAACTACACAGGTGTAAGACAGGAAGGCATTAGCTCGGCTTCCGTGAACTCTGGTTTCTTTACAACGCTAGTCGAAGCTGGAGATGTGAAGGCAGTTTTCACTGGCCATGATCACATTAATGACTTCTGTGGCAAGCTAACAGGTATACATCTTTGTTATGGTGGGGGATTTGGATATCATGCTTATGGAAAGGCTGGGTGGTCTAGGAGAGCAAGAGTGGTCGTAGCTAGCTTGGAGAAAACAGTGAAGGGAACTTGGGGAGATGTCAAGTCAATTAAAACGTGGAAACGCCTTGATGATAAACATCTTACTGGCATTGATGGTCAGGTCCTGTGGAGCAAGAGCTTTCATGGTACGCCATCCTTGGAATAGTGAGCCTTTTTCTTGCTCTTAGCTAATACAGAAGACTGAAAAACAAGGGATCCAGCTCTAGAAATTTATATCAAGAAATGCCACTGAATATAAAAGATGTCAATTTCTTTTTTCGTCATTCTTGCATAAGAATTGATGAGTTATGCAGTTGAAAAATAAGAAGCAGGAACTGGAAAAACAGTTCTTAGAACTTGGTGCGAATGTAGAGGCATATCACAATGTTAAAGCACGGTAAACTTGAATTTAAGGGAATGAGGAATTGCTTAAATTTTACAAATGATGGCAAAAACACAGATGAAATTTATTTGTAAAGGCTGTAGAAAGGCAAAAGTATAGAAAGAATGGTTGTATTTAAGAGAAGAATATAGCAACCGCCATGAAGTTGGAATTTTCTCAGGGCAATCTATCTCACAAGTAACGCATAGGAGTAAACTCTGATGGAAATTTCCAAGAAACTTCACATTAGTTCTTTACAGAAGAAAATTCATGTATATTGAACTCTAATTCCACATTCTGTGAGTATTTTTCGGGATAACTGATATATAGACCAGAGGTAAACGCGTTTAGACAAATATGTGTTAATAACATGTGCATAGTAAGTGTTGAGGCAAATCCGCTTGTATGTAGAAGTCTAGCTATGGCTTCTGTTCCTTAATTTCTTCTTGTCTTCCATTACACATAATCTCTTCTGACTCGTTATTTCTTTTGGTAATTGTGATTATAACAGGTAGGAAAAATTGAAATGTTGGCTCTTCAGAATTCGAAAGTGAAGCAGACTAATGGGAGCTTGAGTAGAAAGATGTCCTGAGCTGTCATATGATAAATGTTATCCATAGGTCCTGTTTGGTATACGTATTATGACGCAGCAACAGAAGGTGATAAAGAATAAAGCAAAGAGTTGGCTCATTAATTTGGGGCCAAAAAAGGGATTTCTGCTATGATGTTATGCAATTACCTTTTTGTAGAATATCGTCTGTTAATCTAAGTTTTGAAATATATGCTGTAGCGGATTTTGATACATTGATGCTAGAGTTACGTAATAGATACACTCATTTTATAATAATCTCCCCAAGGAAGCTGAGATTTGTAATGCGGACAGTGTTAAATCTTTGAGACTTCCAATCCTTAAAGCTACCATTTCACGGCAATAAAGTACTACCATAGAGCAGAATTCTACTTTCATGAAACTTACGGAATTATATTCTCTGAAGTTTAGTTAGTTACACCAGGCTTCAAACCCTCAAGAAGAATCATCCTTTTCACTCAAAATTGAGGCCTTTTGGTATCTCAATTTATCAATCTCCTTCCCAAGAAAATCTAACGTTGTATCCGTAACGTGGTTAGGCGTGCATCCAGCATCCAACATCATTCTTAAGAATTTATAAGCATCCTTCAATCGACCTGCCTTGCTGTGAACTTCAATTAATGTATTATAAGTCACAACATCAGGATTTATCCCGCTATTCTTCATTTGCTCAAAGAGTTTGTTCACTTCCTCAATACGGCCTGCTTTCCCCAGTGCATTGATGAGGGTGTTATACATGACAATATCAAGATAACCCCCCTGCTTCAGTAGCCTATCAAGAACAGAGCTGGCTAGGTCTGCTCTTCCCATCTTTCCTAAACCTTGTATTATCACATTGTATGTTGCTATGTCAGCCGGGCAAACCTTCTCCCCCATTTCATTGAGAACAGCCCAAGCCTCAGTGAAGTAGCCCTTTTTCACAAATGAGCTCATTATAGAGTTATATGTATAACTCACAGGATTCACACCCATGTCAGTGAAAATTTCAAACAGCTTGCAAGCCAAGTTCAATTTCCCCTTAGCCAGAAAAATAGACAAGAAAGTATTCACCATATCAATATCAAAAGAATCTGAACCTTTTTCTTGAACTCGTTGCGCTGGAGTAGGAGAAAACAGTTTAGGGGAATAGCCATTAGATTCCACTTGATTGGCCAATCTATCCATGTAGGGTGATGAAGACCACTCATCAGTTTCAAAGGATGAAATCAATCCCTCAGCTTTAGTTGTATCAGCATCTGAATCAAGGTGGGTACTATCAGAAGTCATAAGGTTCATCATCATCTCCTCAAAATCTCCTTTGGAAGGGAACAATGGAGTATAATCCTTTTTCTTACTCTTGTCGCTCTTCATAGAAGCCTCCATTCCAGCTTTCCACTTGAGAACATTATACACCAGATCACCCTCTTTTACATGCTTTAGAAGCTGGTCTGTCCAGTCCCAACGGCCATGTTTATGGATGCCAATCAAGAGTGAAGTTATGGTGACCAAGTCAACAACAAAACCCCTGCTTTCCATTTCCTCCACCAGTTGGAGTGCCTCCTCAAGTAGACCCTCCTTACAAAGTTGCAGCACAATTATGCTGTAAGTAATTCCATCAACAAATTGGCCTTTCTTTTTCAGGTCACAAAATAAAGTATAAGCAGCCTCTGGCCTTCCATTCTTAAATAATCCATCGATCAAAATGTTATATGTCCAGCATGAGGCTTTTACGCCATCTTCAACCATTTTCTCAAAAAGCTGGCAAGCTTCTGTAACTTTTCTAGCCTTCAAAAGTCCATTTAGTAGAGAATTATAAACAACTGTATCCATTTGAAATCCATCATTCTGCATTTCGTAAAATATCTTAGTTGCGTTATCTATTCTACAAGTCTTGGAACAACCTTGGATAAGGATTCTGTAAGTGAATTCATCAGGTTCATGACCAGACCCTTTAAGCTCCTCCCATACCATGAGTGCATCATTGACCTTCCCAACCTTACAGAGCACACTGATTAAACTATTATAGGTGCACAAATCAGGCCCAACTGAACTTCCAGATCCATCAGATTCTCGTTCCCTCATCTCTTTGAAGAGACTTAAAAGTACTCAGATCACCCCAACACCCAAAAGCATAAATACAAATATTGTAACCCCAGATATCAAATTTAAACTCTTTCTTGTTCCTCAGTCTTTCAAAAACTTTTTAAATTCTACCTTCATGTCTGCTTTTCTAAGAGCAGCCAACACTTCGTTACATACAATGCAGCTAGGTGCAGAACCAAAGTCACCACAACCATCGGATTCAGCATCCAGAAGCTTAAGAAATATAAACAGAGCCAAACGCACCTGGTTATTTCTTACCAAAGCAATAATAACTGAGTTGAACATTTGGGGATTCAAGGTAGCCCCAAGTTCTTCCATGCAGTCTAAAATTTCTACCGCCGAATCGAACTTACCCAACCGAATGAAAGAATCGAGGAGAAGCTTGAAGGCTTGGGAATCAGCAGCGACGCCATCTTCCCTCATCGAGCGGAGGAGATTCGGTACCTCGTTGAGGTAGCCGGCGCGGCAAACGGTGCGGAAGATGTGAGAGTAGGCGGCGGCGGAGTGCGCGTACTTGGGTGGGAGCGAGCGAACGACACCAGTGGAAGAAATCAAGTTTCTTTGAAGGATGAAGTGATGGATTAGAGAGGATTCGGAGGAGGATAGGCTCAGTGAGTTGAGATGTGTGAGCCGGGTCGAGGGCAAGGTTCCGAGTTCCGGACTCGGACAGAGTTTTTGTGATAGAAGCCACCAGGAGCAAGTCTCCGAGTTGTTTAGATATCGTTCTTGGGGATCTTCCATGGCGCATGGCATTGCGAATACCCAGTAGTTCCAACAGACGAGTAGGGGAGACGAGTTAAGACAGAAGACGAGAACAAGAGCTTGGGGTAAACTGTGAATAACAGATAATAAGGAGACCATAGGCAAATATTTGGAGAACAGGGGGCTGGGGGAAAAGCTGGAGAAATAATTACCACCAATCCTTAATATAAAACTTATTTAATTATTTGATTAAATTAAAAAAATTAATTAATTATAAGAAATGTGATTGTTTTTTTAAAATACCATAATCATTTTTCTTAATACTCTCTCTTCCTCTTCCACTTAATTATAGTTAAGGGAGTATCTATGAGAGTAATTTAAAAAAATAATAATATGATAAATGAGTTTTATATTTAAGATTTAAATCAATTTAATAATTAGGTTGTGTATCAACGAGCGAGGAATGGAAAAATAACATTGTGCTTTCATGTTGGGTGTAAAGATCTAGAACCCAAAAAAAAAATCCTCATCCTTTTCCGGGTCGATTGGGTCGATCATTTTTTCTTCATCCCCAGACCCGAGCCTGAAATTATCAAACCCAAAATCTCCTGCTACAAAGTACTATTTCTGACTAAAATATAAAAATTAATTAACTAATTTCAGGATATTAAAAAAATAAATTAATTTAGTTATGTGTAATAAATAAATGTTATTTTTTTTAAAATATTCTTACTAATCAAATATACTAGTTAAAGCTATTATTATTAAAAATATTATCTTGAGAAAAAAAAATATAAATTTGAGAAACAAAATAGATTAGGATCTTATATTTACAATCAAAATAAGAATTAAATGAAATCTTATATTAAGCATCAGACATAGTATATATTTTTTGCCACAAAACCTAATAATTTTTTGCCATTAAATGCAAACACTTCTAAATTTAAATATTCACTAGTCACGATATAATAAATAGCATATTCCACTAGATTCATCTCTTAGTGTCAACGCATTTTCTACAATCAAGAAAACTCAGGCTTGACAAAAGCGTTGCTTCACAAGACGTAAATCCTCTTGGGCCCCGCACCAAAGCAGCGATGGGCCCTCAAGGCCGTTGAAGACTTGACATGCCGAAGTAACCACGTTTAAGGACAATCAAGAGTCAACAATATTTCCTTTGTTAATATGAATTCTTGAGACAAGCATAAGAGGCCTGTTGGCCCAGTGGTGTGGGTGTGTGCGTGGGTGTGTGAGTGACCGCGCGGTTCGATCCCGCTCCTATGTAACTCAAAAAAGAGGCTGTGATCATTGAACGAAGAGGAGATCAAATAATCAATAGCAATAACCTAACTATTCCTCTGATTCTTAATATAAAAACCTATTTAACTAATTGATTAGATTAAAGAAGTGAACTAAATTAGTTAATTATAAGAAGTATGATA